ACTTCCTGTCCCCTGTTGTGAATTTATTCATTTATTTATTGACTTAGGTTTTGAGGTCAAATACAAAAATACATCACTGTGCATAATCTCTACTTTGGTAATCAAAAAAGTAGGTAGCAATATGAAAAATAACCAATTTTAATAGAAAACATTGACTACACTTCTAAAAATTAAGAGTCCTTTACTAGTGCATTTTACTGATTAAACTAGAAATTTCTACCTGAAATGAATTTTGTTTTTAGATTAGCTTTAAAAAGATCCTAAAGCTATAATGCAGTCCAGAACTACGTTTAGCACCAACGATATCAAATGGAGCTTCAAACCAAAAGGGTAATTGTTACATGCTGTGGTGCAAGTTGACCGATGAGTGAATTTTCATATATGCCGGGGCTCTGACCTTTGCAACAATTTGTGCCGCACTCCCCCTTCTCGGGACCTGCGCAGGCAGCGCTGCAGGCGGCCATCCCGCTGGGTAATTCAGTGAGGCGAGTCGGATGCTCTTGGGAGTCTCCTGATCTGTCTTTGCTGCTGAAGAAAGTCACCAGCCAGGCAGCGGTCAGCTCAGCAGCGAAGGGCCGCAGTGGTCCTGGGCAGCTGTGCTGTAAGGGAACGGTTCCTTGGGCAAAGGAGATTGCACCGCTACGAAGCCCAGTTCTCCGTGGTGAGTTAGCAGCCAGACACACGGGAGAATTGCATTGGGGAAGCTCATCCTGCAAGGGCTGCCTGTTGTATTTTAACACTGGAGATTGTAAATGTAATAGAACAAACAGAATTGTTTGCCTTGCACAGTTAATTTGATGGAGTCTTTTCTCTCCACTGACTTCCTCTGCAGGGACGACCCACTTTGAAAACAGCAGATGCGCGCCAGAGCTATGCCTGTGTCACGCACAGAGGCTCGGGAAGCCTTTGACTGAGTGCAGGGTAGGCAGAGAAGTGCAGTCTGAAAAGGGGGTTTTGTATGAAAGAAGTAGAAACAGCCTGAAAATGGGGAAGAACACGTTATTCACATCCTTCTCAACTCATTGCTCCGACTTTTCCTTTGGGAGGGTGGCACCTGGTAGACTAGGAATTTCCAAAAAATAACAGGCACTTCTTCTAGCTGGTGGTGAGCACACCTGGATGTGTTGAATATTTTGCAGTAGTAATTATGTCTGCACACCTGGCTTTCAGTCCCCAATCAGTTTGCTAGACATGCCTAGAGAGATTTATTTCTCCTATATCTGAAAAAGCTCTTTTTACCACCACGTTTTTACTACTTTAAACGAGGCTAAAGGAAAAAATGAGCACGGTGGGGTTTTTTTGTCTTTGTTTGAGCTATTGGTATCTCAAACTGAACTGCGAAGTTTGTAGGGGGAGGAGGGTGTTTGGATGATATTTTAATAGCAATTTGTTTTTGCTTCGATGTGTGATAGAAATACAAGTGACAGGAGTGGGAACAGGAGAGTTGCTGAATTCTGTTGGAATTTTTCCTGTGGGAATCTATTAATGTTTTTAATTCTCTGAGAGATTTTTCTAAGGTAATCCTTTTGACATTTACATATTTTAAATGACTCTCATTAAATAAAAGCTTAACTTCTCTGTATCAAATGCTGAAGTGATGATACTGGAATACCGTTGCATAGAAATTCAAATGACTCGAAGACCATTTTAATGGCAGCCTATAAAAACTGAGTTTTGTGAAGGATATTAATAATGAATTGTTCTTTAAAAGAATGTAATTTTGAAGGAGATTCAATTGTTTTAGCATTTAACAGAAGCATATTTTGCTAGACAAAACCTTTATTAGTACCTAATGTGTGGTACACGTAGCCATTTGCTAATCAAAACACAAATTTGAACAGCTGGATTTTCCACTCATTGCTCATACATCAAATACAATCTACATGCAAGCCCAAGTGCTTGCAGTGCACCTTGTCAAAAATACCTCTGGTTTTCTGTATCGTTTCGGAGTATAGGTCAGCTCCTGAAGGAAGATGCTGTTATCAGCGCAGGGAAGGCTAGAAGAAACAAAAAGGGGAACGTCTTAAAAAAACAAGACAAGAACATGGTGATGAAGTGTTGCATCTCTTACTTGTGATACTCTCTTGCAAATAAATAGTGCCATGAGCAAAACAATCCATATCCTTCAACGTCCTTTCGTAGGAGGCAGGAGTCATAGCGTGTGGGTATCCCAGGGACAAGCGTGTAATCTTGAGATACTTTTAAATGAACTTTGTTCTGTTGCTAGTTCAAGCCCTTGAGCGAGATTTTGCTCTCGGACCAGCCTAAATACTAAGTAAATTCATTTAATTAAATTTACTACAGATATCCCCAGTTATAACAAGAACAGATTGGTCTCCCTGAGGCTAGATGGAGTTAACAAGAAAATAAATGTTGTGCTAATTAGAGAACTCATTCTCAGACACCTGGGGTTAAACTTTTAAAAGTCCTAGAGATGTAGGATTGAAAGTTCATCTGAAAATAAGTCCTAGGCTTCTAAATCACTTAGACACTTTTGAAAAATTTACCCAGGGGCTTTAACCATCACGCAGTCATTGCGTTTAGCATGTTTATAGCTGTCTGCTTAGCAAAGCACTTTGTAACTTTTATCTATTAATATCATTATACTAATACATATTTCATTATCCCTTTAAGTAAAGTGGGGATATTGAGCTACCTGGTGAGCTGAAGGTAGTCTCAATGCGTCAGCAGAAGCAGACGGTTTTAAAGCCCCAGTGCACCAAATTTTCATCCTTTTTTTTTTTTCCCCCCCCCGCCATCCTCATGGGACTTTTGGCTGCTTTAGGTACCTGAGAACTTTTAATAAAAGGTTGATCTTAAGTGAATTGTCCAAGCGCACAGATGGAGAAGGCAGCACGACTGCAATTTTATAGTTGTGCAGGTCGTTGCCTCAGGCCCAAACTACTGTACCACTTGCAGGGAGAAAAATGAGACAGCGAGTGCTGTCACACAACCTTTCATCTGCTGATTCATGGTAGGAAGTAACAGTGACAAGTCACCTCACGTGCACAACAGAAAACAACATGGGTTTAGTATTAAACCCAGTTTCCGGATTTGTGTATCTAATTAGCAAAAGCAAGCAAACAACCAGGCTCCAAGCAGGGCAAAGTCACCTCATTTGCTGGTAGCTTGAAAGTACGTATACGGTTGTTATTTTTCTCCTACATCTAGTCTGAGGATTTTTCTGAAGCGTTGTCCTTGTAAAGACATGCATTAGAAGTGCCTGTCTCCTGCCAGGTAAAACCCTCCCCACAGCAACGCACACGCTCGCCGTCTGTCAGCAAAAACTTCTGTGTCAGTAATTAGAAAAATGCTATTAAAAGCCTGCCTTGTAATCCCAGAGCGCCTCTGGGTTGGCTCCGTCCTGTTCCGTCTTCCCTGCTCGGCGCAGTAGCCCCGGATCGCTGCACGGGGACGAGGGACGCTGCTCCCCTAGCTGCGCTGTTCCTGCAGCTCTACAACGGGCCGTTTTGAGGGCGGTAGCAAACAGCTGTAGTGTCCCAGTGAGGTGACCTTCGGTGACAAAAACCTCATTCCAACAGACAGCCTTATAACACAGGTGAAGCATGTTACAGACAGGCACTTGGGAGCTCGATCTCAGCGTGGGCAGAACCTGTAAAGCGTGTGATCGTCTGAAAATTTACTCCAGCCTGTCATGAGTCTAGGTTATCCGACATCGTAAAACAGATGAGTCAGGGCACTAAAACATGGAGGTTATCCACCGAGCTCATTATTTTTATACGTAATTACACAGTACTATTGGGGGAGAACTGTACATTATGCTGAAGAATTCTGTTTCATCACTAGTCCTAAAAGATAATTGTATTTAATTAGGACCTGTAGATACCATGCTGATTAGTGTGCTATAAAAACCCAAGGGAGACCTGAATCTGTAATTGCAAATGAGTTGCAATAGCCAATGCATCCATTAAACACAAGTTGAAAGCTGACCCTGATGTGAGGTGACAATCAAAAATTGAGCTATTTTAATTTACGGTGTAACTCTACTACTCTGTTCTGACTCTCTGCAATTCCTCTGCTTTGAACTAGCAGGCAGACAGACACCTGCTGGTCTTCTCCTACCGAATTTAGAAAACTTCTTTTTTTTAGTCTGGTCTAATATACGCATGAATGTGAAAGTCATGAGAGCTGACATCGGTTGTGACTAAGCTGCCCTTTTCAGACTATATGACTACAGATCAGAAAGGGAGGAGCACGGCTAGTAACGTCTCACAGGAAGCAGTGAAAACTTTTTTTTTTGTTATAATGCATGTTGTAACGTACTTTCCAGTGAATTACAAATTGTATTTACAATCATAGAAGCTGCCAGTTACCCCAGCAGTGGTCCGGAGGGTCGCTTACAGCAAGTGCGAACAAGGGAGCGTTGTCATTGCCCTTGCTCTTTGCAGGCAGTTCCCGCAGAAGCACTGAAGGTGCTAAGTTGGATGGTCTTTTTTCTGTGGCAGAAATATTTTGTGAAGATGCCAGGTCAGTGTGTGTGTGTCTAATCGGATCATGCAAGCTATCCCTGTTAGTTCACAGTAAATTGTGCTTCAGGTTTCACATCTTTCTTTAGGTGTTTGGCTGAGCAACATACTTCCTAATATACCTGTCTTGTTCTTTGCTGACTTGGGCCACTTTTGAACCGAAGTCACAGAGCTGAATCCATCTCCCTATTGCTCCTTTGGGGAATACAAACCCCTAGAATAAAACGTTTAACACAGGAGACAGAAAGTTAGTGTGAAATACTGTGTTTCTTTTTTTAAGTAACAATGCTTGGAACCAAAAATTGAAGCACTTCAGAGTAATGAGAATCTTGTGTAAAAATGGTTATAGTTCTCATCTCATCTGAAGTTCTTTTCAGCTGATAGAGTCACTGCCATGCTTCCCTCTGAATGGTTGCCAGTAGAAAGCACAGAAATAGACTTATTTTGGGAAGAAAGGGATAGACTTGCCAAGGAGCTAAGTGACAAATTGCTCACTAAAATTCTGAGTATCTAGTATCCAGCATTTTGTAGCTCTTCCTTGTTGGTCCCCTTTGCAACATGGAGAACAGCTGAACAATTTTGTTTTTACAAGTACACGAGAGGTGCGTACACGTGGCTGGCTCAGCACTTCCTTGCAGATTTGGTAGATGCTTGATCAGCAAGTCTTAAGAGGAAATATTTTATGCAGAGCTGTATGGCAAATAGAAATAACATCCAGTAATGGCAACTCAAAGGGAAAGTGACTAGAAAAAGCAAATGTTCTGAGCAAAATAAATTTAAAGTTGCAGTTTCACTTCAGGCTGCCTTGCCCACTGTGATATCTATGTCTTCCTCTCGCTCCTCCAGTTCATTGCTCTGATGGCTCTGCCACCTCCGGATCCAGAGTTTGTCCTAAGAGGTACCAGTGCCGCAGTCCACACTCTGCATTTTTCCTGTGGAGGCCAAGAACCTGATTTCCCAATTCTTTTCTCTGGGTAAGTAAATCTTTGACCAGGAACGTGGCTGAGTTGAGCATCATACAGACATTTCCTTTTAAAATAAAGTGTATTGTTTAGATAACTAATATCTGTGAAAACAACAGAATGTATGATTGGTGATTCTGTGATTCTGTGATTCTGTGATTAATGGGTGTATTATCTTTGTACATACAACTTCAGTTTTGAAAAAAAAGGAAAAGTATCACAGAATCACAGAATGGTTGAGGTTGGAAGGGACCTCTGGAGATCATCTAGTCCAACTCCCCTGCTCAAGCAGGGTCATCTAGAGCACATTGCCCAGGATTGTATCCAGGCGGGTTTTGAATATCTCCAGAGAAGGAGACTCCATAACCTCTCTGGGCAACCTGGTCCAGTGCTCAGTCACCCTCACAGTAAAGAAGTTTTTCCCCATGTTCAGACAGAACTGCCTGTGTTTCAGTTTGTGCCCGTTGCCTCTTGTCCTGTCGCTGGGCACCACTGAAAATAGTCTGGCCCCATCCTCTTGGCACCCTCCCTTTAGATATTTGTATACATCAGCTAGTCAGTCTTATCAGATTGCATGTAATGGCCACACTAAACGTCTTCTGTTCTTACTGCTAGGTCTGAGAATGGTTTTGTCCATGTCTGGAACTTGAAAACACGCAGAGTGGACACAGCACTGGATGGTCATGGAAGAAAGTCTGTCTACTGGGTGGAAACAATGGATGCTAAAGACAGGCTCCTTAGGTTAGTGAAGCAGTCAAAAAACAGAGAAAATTATTTTTGTTTCTGTAATAGACTTGATTAAAAAAGATATGTTATTTCTGGACTCACTAAAAGTCTCTACAACACATACAGAAAATGTGCAGAAATACAGAAGAACCAAAAGTGGAAAAAATAGTATGTTCAATTTGTTTATGATACATACGTGACTACATCATGACAGCCTGGGGTCTGTAGTGTCTTTTGTTATTGCACTGAGATCAGGTGAGGTCTTTGGGAAAAGCAAATGCACTTGGACTGAAAGCTGACAAATACTTTGCAACTGGTTTCCAGGAAAGATCAAATTTAAAACAAAGAGTTTATAAAAAGGGAAAGGGGCGAAAAGTGAGGACGGAAGAGAAGAATCAGCGATGGAGAATGGAAGACATTGAAAATGAGCAGGAATTGTGTTCTCTTTTAGCAAGGGAAGGTCGGGAAGATTTGTGTACTTTGGATCAGACAGGTGATCTAGAGTAGAGTAGATGCCAAAGCGTCTGTGTGACTTGGAGGTGTTCTGACATGTTTATCTAGAGAAGACATCTCTTATAATATGCAGTGGAACTCATTAGCATCTATATTTGTTACCTGTTTAAGTACAATTATCAACTCTCTCCCCTATAAAATCATACTGAATGAGTATTGTTTGTATAATTACAGAGTTTTTCCTTTTCCCCTATTTTTGCTGTATATTTATAAGAGTTCACATAGCAATGTAATTTTAGGAAAGCAGTTACCTCTATTTTTATTTTACTGTTCTAAAGCTAAATCACAGCAATTTTGTGCAGTACCATGCTGTAGGTATGTCCAGTGCTATACATGTTTTGATATTTTGTCACTCGACTGAACAATAGATGGGAGTTTCTGTATTGATGTTGAAGTCCCAACAGTGTGTAGACTGTTTTGGTTTCATACTTCTGTCAAGTGATACTGCTAATTAAAATAATGCATGGATAGGGTATTTTTGATGAAACCTTATCCCAGGTGATAACATGAGGACAGGTATCCTGTGCTACGGTAGTCCTGTAGCTTCTGTGGGCTGGAGAGATAGGTCTCTGCTTGAGCTGCACCAGTGGCTGGAGGGATATGCAGAAAAGTCTCTGTCTGCGCTGCAGCAGTACATCTGTGATGCAGCCCCAGCTGCTAGTTCTCCATTGCATGGATGTTCCAACCATAATATTCCATTACTGAATTCCTGTTACTCATTGCATCGCCAGTTCCTCTCCTGTTATTCCTCCACACATACCTGATGGTAAGAAGCCTCTATGCCGTCACTGTAACTGTGGGTAGTTGGCCACTGAGTAACTGTAGTTCTTTGTTTGTTTGTTGTGGTCTTTATTGTCTTGCTATTTGTTTCTTGGAGTTGTCAACATGCCAGATATTTGTATGACACTGCTAGGGTAAAAGAGGGTTAAATGAGCTGTTCTCTGTATGCTTTTGATTCTAGTCCTTTTAAATTAGGTATCGTCAGTGCTAAAATGTAAGTATTCATAAATATTTGCACATAAAAACAGAATTACTGTGTATGATCAAGTCTGTCTTCCTAAGGAAACATGGCTTACTGGGATGGCAGAGTATGTGACAAGTCCAGCCTCCTCCCAGTAACTTTTGGACCTATTGGCCGGTTTTACAGTCAGCGAAGGGTAGAGGTCTCAGTGACAGTGAGTTCTCACGCATTTCATGAAAGACCCTATTAATACCCCAACAGAAGGAAAAGCTGTAGTAAGCTTACTCAGTAGATGTCAAAGACCTAGGTTTCCTCAGTTCTGCTGCTCACAGAACAACTTGTCTTGTTGTAAAAGTCAGGGTCGTGACCAAAGGATCTGCCTGTGGAATTTAGCAGAAGGACGGACTTCAGTGACGGATTCTGTTTTCACGGAGAATGTGGGATTCTGCAGATGCTCTCTGCTAAAGGTGGCACAGGGGCGCTGGCTAATGGCCATGGCAGCCAAATCCCTAGAGGAGGTAGGAAATATCTCTTTTTCTGGTGTTTGGCAAGGGGTTGGTTTTGTTTCTTAAACAAGATAGTCCAAAAGGGCTGTCAAGTACTCTGCTGAAGAGAAGGTGGGAAAAGGAACCTTTTGGGGCTGCTAGTTTTACCTGCCAGAAAGATGACCTAATTATATAATTCATGCACTGATGTCAAGGATACTGTCCCAAGTTTTGTCTAACATTCAGATATTTGCAGCTGCTGCTGCTGGTCTTTCATGTGCAGGAGTTTTGAAAACTCCTCTGGTGCTGCTGCTGAATTCTGTTAAAAGGATCTCGAGTCCTGCTGGGGAACTAATGGTCAGAAAGTCTGTCATCACCCAGAGGTGCTCATCCTCCATCTGAAACGAAAATCATGTTTGGTGAGAGAAGGGGAGGGTGCAAATGATTTGTAACGTGATGCGTGGTCTTTCACCCCAGGCTAATTCTTTAACTGGTACATGGCCTGGAAGTAGTTGAATTACTATTAGCTACCAGAGGTTTGCTCTGTGTGAGAGGACTGCAGGGTTCATTTTAGTTCCTACTTGATACGTCCACATCTAATACCGATTATCACAGCCAACATTGACTGACAGCTTTTTTGGCAATTTCTGTGTTACAGAAATCATATTTTTGTTTTCTTGGATGGGCTATTTGCAGATATCACACTAAATTAAATTAATTCCAGCACATGACATCAGAATACCAAAAATAAGAAAAAAGGAGAAAATGGCATAAATAAATAAATGAAATATTGCAGCTAATTGCAAATTGTTCAGGGACATGAAAGGCCACATATTTTTCTAGACTTTAAGGCACATATCGTGAAACTGAGAATTACATTGTATGTATGCGAAGTAATATATGGGAATTGTGCCTGCATTGCAAGAGAATGTGAACTTTTTATTATTCAGAAGTTAAGCACATATTTAAGTACTTCGCTGGATCACAGCCAGAATGGAATGAGCCAGTAAACACAACCACTGTAAGCAGTAAATACAACCATTGTAGGTCCCATATATTGTTCTGCTCAAACAAAAACTGCATCCATTTTACAGCAGTGTTCAATAATATTTAACTGCAAATTAAACAAAATCGAAAAGTGCATTTTTGTGTCAGGCAAGGAAGAGTTATACACACATACATTCTGTTAATGAAGAATTAAATAATCAGCTAACCCAAAGAGAAGACCTTTGCCCCAATGTCTTTCCCTTCCTTCTTACAACTCCTCACTGTTTTATTTTCATTTGTATGCTTGGGCCATGCAAACTGATAATGATTTGCTGTCTCCTGAACTAAAAGAGTTCCACTCTGTATATGAACCTTCACATTAGAACTGTGTCAGGATTCCATAAATTCACATAAGCTCCCATAATATATAGTGTTTCCAAATAGGCAGCACTGTCTGAGACACAGTACATTTGCGGCTTATGATTAAAATTAAGACTTAATAAGTGTTTATGCTTGGCTGGTGCCCAAAAAAGAGTAATTTTGTCTTAAAGCAGGTTCAGTCCATAAATAATGAGATCTGAACAGGCATTTATTTGCTTCATGATTGCATTTAAATCACCAATTATGAGTTACACGCACTTTTCTTGCCAATTTGCCAGAAACATGTTAAAAGCTTTATTAATGTGAAAAAGAAAAAGGGTGTGTTTCCTTGTGGCCAGTTTTAGCCACCCAGGAACACTATTAACCTCAGGCAAAGGCAAATCTTTCTCCTATTAAGCAAAACCAATATAAACACAGAACTTCAAGTTTTAGGTTACAGTTGTCAAAATATGTGAAATAGTATTTATTTCTAAGGCTCAGTTGCCTCTAATGCAGACAGTCTCTGGAACTGTCAGTCTAGCACAGGCAGATCATGCCTGACTGCCTTCTGCAAAGAGCTCTTCTTGTCTCGATTTTTTTCTTCGTCCTTGGCAAGCCCAACTATAGCTTTGTATCAGCTCTTCCCTTTCGACTCAAGGTAAAGCAAAGGAGTTTTTTTTCTTTTAACCTGCAGTAGTGCATTTATCACAGTGATACCTCTTTCTTTGTTATGTAAAGTTGCAGTTTGTCTTTTTCTTCCTGGGGTCTAGCAGGTAATGCTCTTTGGAAAGCCAATGATGAAAGATGCTAGATGAGAGCAGGTCATCTTCATACTTAAAGCCCTTTTCCTGTGATGGCTAACTAGGTTTCTATGTTGATAGCAAGGAAGTTGCCAAGTAAAAAAGAATTTTTTGTTAAGAGCACAGCTCCAAAGAACCAGAATTCCCAGATGGTCGAAATTTGATCTGTTCACAGGTTTCGTTCATACGTTGGATGGCTCTTTGCTATAGTCTCTGTCCCTCAAAACAGGAGAGCAGTTTCCTGTTCCACCGCTAATTGGCTTTAGAAAATGTTCTATATATTGTGTTTAGTACATTGTGGACTCGCAGTCCTAGAGTGCAGCTGGCTTTTGGCAGGCTGGCTGACAATCTCTAGAAATAGGAAGATGTTCTGGCAAGCTTTGAACTAAAGGTATGGGATAGGAAAGCCATCGCAGCTGCCGTGGTCTTGATTGATGGCTCCCAGAGGAGTCATATTTGTCTAATGCCTCATCTCAGATGCTTAAGGAAATTCGCATGACTGGGGCTGTCCGACAGCAATATTGGGCCTTTGCACATTCTGAAATAGCCTAGAATGTCTGGTGATGCTCGATTTACCAAATGTTTGAAGTCCTTTAATTTTCTGAAATAATGCAGGCAATTTTTTTTTTAATTAAAATAAAAGATCACCTCAGTGATTAAGTATGCATTCGAGAAACAGTGATATGGAAAAAATGTTGCTGGCAGCAATTTTTTGATACCTAAGAACTTCACTTTCTCCAAAGTTAAGGGCTAAAGAATAAGCCCAGAGCGAGGCTCTTTTGTGTCAGTCAAGAGACTCAAAACCTGCCAGTGCCAAACTGCAAAGGCAGACTCCACTGATCTTGCCTCCCATCATCCTGAGGTGGAAATGAGTTACTTCCTTGGCAGAGGAAAGACTTGCCCTATGCAAAAAAAAAAAAAAAAAAAAAAAAATCAGATCCATAATTCATTACCAGCAGGGCAAGCAACAGCAGAGGCTGCTGCGTAGACAGCAGGTGTTTAACACAATATTGTCTGTATTCAAAGTAGGGTCAGACAATATTGTAGTAAAAATACCTGTATACCATCAGTGCTCCAGCTTGCATTAGCAGCGCCTATATAGCCACAAAAGCTCTGTGTTACCGTGCCAGAACAGAGGAGGTAATGCAAGTGTCCACAACTGAAGAAATTTAGCAACAGAGTGGAAAAAGGGGAGAGGGAGAGGAGAGGAAGCAGGGAAGTATTTTTAGATGAAGCAGCCTGCAGTATCATCCACTATATGGAAAGAAGATTATAAAACACAGATGCAATAGCAGAGCAGAAGAAGAGGATGTGTTATATTCCAGCAGTTTTGTCTGGTCTTCCATAAAACGATGCATTTATTTAGATTGCTGTAGATCACCCTACAGCTCCAACTTAACATACATTCTCCAGTTTCCTCCAGACTGAGTTTTTACTGGAAGAGCTTACACTAGCCTTAATCACCTTAAAAGACTTTTGTTTTTAACAGCAGAATTTTGAACTGGAGCCTGACCAAATACTCTTGTTTTCCTGATGTCAGGTTCAGGTTTTGGAGCTGCCATCCAAGACGTCAGTCTGTACCTTGAAGCCAGAGGTGGGTGCCAAGCTGGGCATGCCCATGTGTCTTAAGTTATGGCAGGTAAGGCGAGAGCGCCTGCTAATTGTGAAATGTTTTCCCTGTGATTCATTTTATATGAAGCATATGAATCTTTCTTCACATGGATTTTGATTTATTATCAAACCAATCAAGTAATTATACTATTAAAGGGGAGAAAGATTTGTGAACATCCTTAATGTAACTTGCAGAACTTTCCAAGCTTTAATGGAAGATTTGCAAATACCCAGGGAAAGCTTTGTATCCTTAGGACAGATACGTTTTTTTGCAACAGTCAAGAGGAAAGCGAGTGACTTACCAAAGCCATTTGTTTGATATGGTTTCTCGCTGTATTAAGAATGATGAGAAATGATTGGGTTACTTAAAAACAGTCATTTTAATGGCAGGTTGCGTTCACTTCAATGCCCTCAGGACGAGGAAGTACTCTATGAACATTTCTATTCCAAGTATGCAATAGGAACAAAATACTGTTGTTGTATTGGCTTCGGACAAAAGAGTAAATAAAAATACTTCCTGAACTTTTGCAGGATATTTAGCAAAGAATATATATATAGGGTGCCAACACTGAAAGGCAAGTAATACAAAAAGGTGGCAGTAGAGGGAGGAAGGAGTTTAAGTGTTTGGCTCTACATCTTGCAAGAATTGGTGGCAAAGCTGATCCTCTGTTTTAACCCTTCCGACCACATACCCTTATAGGTCTGCAGTACCCTCAGAGCTGATTTCAAGTACGTTATTCCTGCAGGCTCATCTGAACATTTGTATTGGTTTCAATTGAAGAAAGTACTTACGAATCTGTTGTGAATTTGAGGCCTTAGTATCTTCACTCTAGATTGTAAACCAACTGAAGTCCAGAGGAATTAATTTGCTGACTATACAGAAGTAGGACAGGCCACAGTTCAAATCCCATGGTGGAATTAAAAACTAGAGGAAAAAAATCAAAAGACAAATTAAAATAGAATGCTTAGACTTTTTTTAAAGAGAAAGTTTCTTCTAAAAAATGCAATCAGTGTTCAGTACTCAGTGAAATGAATGTGGCTTTCTGTTTCCTGGACATATTTTAATACGATGAAGATAACTCAGGAAATGTTTGTTTAGTGTTTGAAAATGTTGTTGCCTGTATAAAAAGTTCTCTGTCTTGCCACAGTTTCTACATACATTAATATTGCTATTCCCCTAGGAAGCAGAGCAGGTGCAGAGTCTTAATTTTATGTAGTTTTTAATTTTGCTGCCAGTGGGGATAAAGCAGAGGACTGGGAAACAGGAGAGCTAAACCATTCCATGCAAATTCTGGCTTTGGGAAGTGACCACATCTTCCTAGATTGCAACAGGCAAGGACAGATAGATAATCATTTACAGTCTCACAGCTGTATTTGCCCTCTTCACGCATGTGTGTAACTCACTTTAAAATCAGGGGGAGAAGGATACTCTTTAGGGGCAGATAATTATATGTGGTACACCAAAGTGATGCTCTGCATTCTGTTTTGTGGTTTGGTTGTAAGCAGGCAGCCGAGTAACCATAAAAGCAGAAGATCACAGGCTAGCACAGCTGCGCCTCCCTCCTGAATAGAAGCAGTCTGGGATTTCTTTGTACATTACTGCATTGGGCAATATAGACATATGCAGAAGATGAGCACTCCCCTACCTATGGCTTTTGGGCAACATGTTGCCTAAGAGACCATTTGATGTTGCTTATGGCACAGTAAATTAACAAGTTGAAACAGAGGCTGACATGGAGAGAGAGAGCCACGTAATGGTCTGAAGGAAGTCTGCTCGGGGTTGTGGTCCAACAAGAGTGTGGGGACTGCTGCCATGTATCATCATATTTTTCTACATGCCAAGAAAAAAAAAGATCCATGTATCAGTGAAACAATACACTTTACTAGCAGCAGCTTGAATTGGAAACTTTGTTGTAGAGTGAAAGGAAATTGAGGCTTAGGTTAGGCTTGTGGATTAATCCTCACTGGCTTCTCCTAAGCTGTTAAAAAGCTGGCATCAGTGTATTTTGTTATTTTGAGACTTTTTTATTATTATTATTATTCTCATTTTACTAGATTTGTGCTTAAAAGTATTAGTTCATGCAATGTTTTTTTTTCTCCCTTGTGAAGGTTCATGTTTTTAAATACATTGTCCCTTGAGCTTCACACCTTCCTGCTATTACTAATTGGGTGGGGTAGCATTTGCAGGAGTAAGGATAGTCTTCCCTTAAATTTTTTGCACTCCCTGAGGAAGGCATCATGTTGCGTAATGGTGCAAACAAAATAATTCAATGGGAATAATACATGTAGAAACTGGAAATGCAGAGTTATTGCTTTATATAAAATATAACAATAAAAAAAATATCCAAATGTAACAACAAAATGTTCTACTTAGGAAGAACAATGATTTATATTTTAAAATTTTCCCCTAAAACCAGAACATGAGTGGTGAGGACTTTTCTGCAAAAGTGTCCATTATTAGCAACTGAAGGAAATAGACTGTTGTGATCCATTGCTTGGTAAGTCCAGGCATCAGACCGAGAGCCTCCCGATCTTTCAGTAGCCTTTATTGTTCAATTTCCTGTATATGTACTTATTAAAATATTACACTGCATATAATTTGGGAAAGTCAGGAGGGAGATATGGGGAAGACCTTCATTTCAGAGAAAACAATGATTTGATTGTTTTTAAAGTAGACCAATTTTAGATCTCGCCTGCAAATCACTGTTTTTCAAATCTCAGCTAAGATACCCATAGTAGAAAAAAAAATGTGTTTTAGCTTGGTGTTTTCCATGATGCTGAGCACCTGGTTGTCCCTCTTGTCTTAATGAGGGCTGCACGGTGATGAGCACCTATGAAGAGCTGGCCATCCCATTTTGAGTGAGGCAGAGGAGCTGACCCTGCCCATCCATATCTTGTTTCATTGCCTAATGACAGCTATACCTCGTATGGAGCCGCAGGGCTCTGGAGGAGTGGTGTGCTTGTAGAAGAGCTGTGCAAATAATTGATTTTTGTGGTTTGCTGCCCCAACTGAGGGCTTTTTTAAACTTACTTAATTGAAGCACTATGAAATATTTTGTTTTTCTTTGAGGCTTTAACCATGTATTACATATAAATAAATACTGGAATGTTTCTTTCATTCAGATTTAAAAAAAAAATTTCTCTCTCCCTAAGAAGCAGATATTCTTCATTCAAAATACTTGATGATATAACATTAATTCACAAATATTTAATATATATTCTTTGATCTGATGTTGTATTATTTTAGCAAATCAAAACTTTGACAGAAAATTCATGCCCAGTTCTGGCTGAGGGCTGTTTATTAGGTGAGGCCTTCTTTGTTGGCCTTTGTAGCCAGAGCATGCTCCCTGCCTTTTCAAAAGAAAAAAGATCTTAAAGTAAGGAATGAGGCTCTTGCAGGATCCCAGATGTGGTCAGTCCTGTTCAGAAGAAAGATGTAGGGGATTTCTCTTTGGCTTTCTCATTTTAAGGGGCAATTTTCTACCCTGCTCAGTGAGATTCATTCCTCGCTTAAACACTTCTTTAGGCTGGAAAGAACATGAAGCTTTTACTCAGCAGTCTTATTACCTAGACCACCCATCTCTTGTTAGTTTAACTCTCCCTAGAACAAATAATAACCAGCGTGAGAAGAGTCTGGACCATTAATAGAGATTGTGAGCCTTTGGCCAGTACAGGTTTGTATCATTGACAGCCAGTCAGTTTGAAAGAACCGCATTCAATAATATGATGCCAGTAAAAATTAATTCTGTATAAACTTCCTTTAACTTTCTTTCAAATTGAACCAAACAAAGGAATCCTGTAGGATCAGATAGATGGTGTTCAAGAACTGAATGACCTAATGGATGCATTATTAGGGTAAGATGTCCCCATATGAGGTAGCCATAGCACCCAGGTCTATTTTGGTGGCTTTTCTCCTATTAAAGACATAACTGGCATTAACAGATGCCTGTTTTTCAGTTGCTTTTCATTAGGGATTTGCATCTTCACTCACATAACCAGTTACTGCTTACAGGGTCATTAGTCTTTTGGCTGGAGCAATGATGAATATTTTCCTTAAGTGTGACATGTAATCCAGTAATGTTCCCTTCTTTGAGTTATTTCAGAGGCTTAAATAAATTAGGTGTCTGCCCAGGGTGCCATGCCCTTTGGCCTGTGACATCGTTAATCAAAATAGCTCTCAATTGGTTACAGTGGGACTCAGGCGCCCATTAACCCCTTGGTGACTCACCCAGAGAGTCTCGAAGAGTGGTTCAATGTCTATCTTTAAGTACTGCTGTGCCCTTGCGTAAATGATCTGTATGTGTAACCCCACACTTGGCAAAGTGAAACTAGAATCTTTGTGCATAGGACTTCTTTCAATATCCATACAGTTTTGTATGGCTTGCTTGTAACTCAGTTGCTCTAAGTAATATTTTTAAGGAACACAATGAAGTTTAGGCTTCATTATGAAGTACAGCTTTTGAAAACTTCAGTCTTCAGGCACAAGAATTTTGTTCAGGTGATGTTGAGGACGACGGTTTGGATTTTCAGAGAGTAAAGTAACTTTATTATTTTATATATATTTATATATATATATATGTGTGTGGGTGGGTGGGTGAGTGTATATATATATATATATCCTCTCTATATATATTTATATATACATATTTTTATATATGTTGTTTTCATTTATATATGTGTATGTGTGTATGTATGTGTATATACCTATATCTATCTAGCTTGCTAGCTATACATATAAAACAAAAGAGCATGTCAGCAGTTATATAATAATGCTTTTCATAAATGTGGATGGAATATCAACATTTGTCTTTAATGGTTGCATTAATATTCAGACTTCTAACTTTTCATTTCTATGCTGGTCAGCATTTTCTTTTTATTTTCCCCGGTGCTTGGACTGAAACCTAGTTGAGGATGAGAATTTTCCTAACAAACTATTTGTTTTTTATGTTTCTTGATCAGCTGGACTCTGGTTCTCAACCTTTGCTTCTGGCTGGCTATGAAGATGGCTCAGTGATCCTTTGGCATCTGTCAATGGGAAAAGCATTGAGCCGACTTGTTTGCCACCAGGAGCCAGTGATGAGCCTTGACTTTGACTCGGAGAAGGCCAAGGGGATCTCTGGCTCATCTGAAAAGGTGCTTAGCATCTGGAGCCTCAACGAGCAACAGAACCTCCAGGTCAGGATCATTGGCCCTCTAGTGTCATTTATCCCACTTTGCACTAACAGTTTGATAGACTAAAAAAAATATTTAGTCATGAAGAGGAGTTGTTGCAGATCTCTAGCTAATTAATCACAGACTGGTTAGAATGCCTATGCTATGTGACTAGACTTAGCGAAAGATGATGAGGATTTAAAAAAAGAAAAGAAAAAAACTTCTCTCACATGTTTCTGGTTTTACCAAAGTTGCAACAGGCACACAGGCCTAGCATTACTCAAGCCATTGCCTCTGTATCTTCATTTTTCATGTTAGTAGTATCCAGCCCTCAGAATGTCCTAAACATTATAAATGAGTTATAAAAATGAGAAACAAAGGATTGCTTTTCCAAAGGTTCTGCTTGAATGGCTGGAGCTTTCCTTCCACTGAAAGAAAGGCAGAAATATTCCATGAAATGCTTCACAAACCTAAAGAGTAGGAGTGATTCAGATGCCCAGTTACCACCAAGAGGAAGTGTGGTTCAGGTAGCCAGCTTTCTTTGACGTCTTTGAGAGCCCTAATCTGAGATAGGGAAAAATAAGTTAATTGGATGTATCAGTTTGTGCCTGAGCTACACAAACCTGGAATGGCTGGTTTAGAAGGAGGTCTTACAATCACCAGTTCAGTCTACACTGGTGAATGGCAATAAATATTGCTTAATCTAGACAACTTTAGCAAGTGTTCCAACAGTGCCAAGGGGTTAAGTAGGTTTTAACTAGGTGTGGAAATGAAGTTGCATTAATAAAAGCTCATGCAAGTAAAAAAGCCCCCTACGTAGCTTCTCCACTGCACTCCCACTGAGTGTTTCAACCTTTTTTAATATGGCAGTTGGTCCCTGACCACACAAAGAAGAGGGCCTTAACCAACCCCCATGTGCCCCCGTAGCATCCTTGAGAAGATAGTTGCTCAATGTACCAATTCATGGAAAAACAGTAACTGCTATTCCAGCTTGCAACTTTTGTGGAGAACTTTTAGGTAGTGTGGTGAGTTAATGCTGTTTTCTGAAAGGAGTTACAGGAAGAAAAACATGTGCTTGGACATCTAACAGCAACGTAACCCCCCAGGGACACTACGAAGACACACCATTTATTAGGCATCACCACAGAATTAGCATGTACAGATAGGTAAGGCACTAGGATCCCAGGGCATGCAGTATAAATACACCTGTATGAAATGAAGTTGAGAGGAGCTAGTGCTCACCAGCTCCTGAGGCAAAATTCTGAAAGTCTGAACTTTAATAATCAAAAAAAGCACTCTAGACTCTGAATAAGTAGTGAAGGAGTTCTAAGTGAATGTGATAAAGAAGTGCTTAACAAGTCTGGTACAGAGTTGTCATGGTTTGGTTTTGCCCCCCCCCTCCCCCATGGCAGCCTTCAGTTGGTTCTTCCTATCACTACTGGCACATGCCTACACTGGGAGGTAGCCCAGGGAAGCAGAGGGAAAGGTGAGCAGAAAAGTCTCAGTAAGAAACTTGGTATTGAGACTAGTTTTCAAAGTTCAAGGTGCAAGAAATCTAATATCATGATAAGTTTCAAATGCTTTGTGTTGGAGAGGAAGTTATTCCTTCATATTCATTGTAGCTTTGCTTTTCCTAAGTTTGTAATAGTCCGATAAAGAAAATATTGTTCCCCACAGCACATTTCAGTTATGAGTTAACTGTAATGCAGGGGTTACAGGTATGACTCATGGGAAAAATAAAGTTGTTCACCTGAAGTATTCCAGGTATTGTTTTCCACAGGGTGTTCACATGCCCAAGAGATGCAGGGTTAGTTACAGCTTCAGCACATTGCACTGAGAGATAGTAACTTTTCTCAAAATAAATTTAAATGCCAAATATTGTAAACCATAAGTATTGTTTCTGTGCTTCATGGATGGTGTGAATTCCGTAATAAAATGCATCTCTTATACAAGTGCTAGAAATTGTCAAGGACATAGATTAAGTTTTTTTCCACAATTGCATTAATAATATAAACCAGATGGGGATTTTTTTCTGACATTCCAGGTACCTGAGGTAATGGTAGATGCTGGAAAGCCACTCAGTGGCACATTATTTTTATTCTAAAAGGTTTTAATAAGTAAACGTGGTGCATAGCTATCTGCCGTTGGAGAAATAATGACGCAATGATGATACTTCAGCTCTGTTTTAAGTGGCAATGTTCCAGTGCGTCAATGAATAGATGATGAAGGTAACTTCATAGTTTATCCCTATGGGGAAAGTTTGGTGTATTGTCTTCTACCAGAAGGTTGCTGAAATCATCACTGTCAGCAAATGACTGGATCGGTTATGAACTTTATGATTTGGATGAGATAGATAGTGTAATTAAATGATGATGTTTGTGGCAGAAGAACATACGAGGTAAACAGCTTCTGCAGGTGACTAAACAAAGCAGAATTGAGAAATCTGGTAATCGCAGAAGCTCCTTACTTTATATGATAAGAAAAAAAAAATCTATAAGCTGTAATGTAAATAAGCACACAAATGTTGTTGGTTGGGTTGCTAAGGCTTTTTTTTCCCAAAATCTGAAGTTCAGGTTGCTGTCACCACCATATTGGCTATTTCTCTAATAAGAATAGGCTTAAAAACATGACTTGGAGCGGAGGAGCGAGAGATTGGGAAAAAAAACAAAAAAAAACAAAAAACAGATGCCATGTGTTCAGGAGGGGTGGAGAGATGGATATCAGCATGTCAACATTTATTAACGTGTTTGCTAGTGAATGCAATTGTTGTTGGCCGTGAGTGGCTGAAAGCAGCTCACCTCAGCTTTTCCCTCTTCCTTTTCCGAATTATAAATTAGTTAAACTATGTTGGCATGCATAGGTTTACAGTAGTTGCCCTTAAGTGACTGGATAGCCCAAATCCCTGCTATAGGATTTCACCTGGCTACGTATACCTCAAGCAAGTTGTTCTACTTTGTTTTTTCTCTCTCACCTCCCCTATTTACGGATTATGCACAAATGCCCACTGTTCCCTCATGTTCTGTAGCCAAAAGGCATCACCATTATAAGCTTCATTTTCAAGTTGTAGCTTGAAAATGTCCCAGTCATCCCAATTTTGCTGTATGGATCTTGCCCACATAATTGACAATAATGATGGGAAACACCACCACCCCCAGGATAAGTTATAGCCATTAGCTAATAATCTCAGTTAGAGTAAGGCCCATCTTTCTTTTGCCAGGCTAGTGATGTCAGTAACAAATCCTCCCCTTGCCAGTACACATATGCCAACAAAAAATCCCACTGAAGCCATGCCACATTAGCATAAGTGGGGAGTTTGGAATAAAATGCATACCAGCAAAAGGCACAGGTTTTACAGAACAAGTTGTAACCCCACAGAGGGGCTACATACAGCCTCCTACTGCTGATCAGGCTTTAGAAAAACTTGCTTGTCCCCCTAGCCTAAATTAGGTGTAGACACCTTCTTCAGGGCCTGTTTAAAATAGGAATGTATGGAAGATGCAAGAAGCACATATCGAGTTTCAGTTAGCCTTTTTTTCCTCATTGAATTTGCACATTTTTAGATATATTGCTCCTTGAGTGAAGAGCTGGATAGTTGTTATATAGCTGAAAAATAACTACTTATAGCTTTTTTCCTGTAAGATTCCAAGATGTGCTCAACTGAAACACCAACTTTGACTAGCATTCCACGGGTTGTAGTTTTCTAGATCCGATATTATAGTTAATGTGATCTGCAACCAATATATTCTTGAAATATATGTACTGATTATGCATCATGGCATGCCCTTCTTGGAGGAAACCTGCTCAGATGTAATGTGCTTTTAAACCCCTTCCCTCCTGAGGAAAACAGTAAGCAAAATGCAGTGTATTAAAACATGCACTGAATTAAGCTTTGGTACAAGATAGCTACATATTAGGTTTTAAGTACATGGAAGCATTAACATGTCGTTTCCAACTATAATCCTGAGTTATGCATGCCAAAATCAGAGAACATTCAAAAGGGTTTTTTTTGTGCATTGTGGCAAAGCTCTGCTATGTCAACACACACACACGCGCGCACACACGCGCGCACACACGCGCGCACACACGCACACTGTGATGCATATACTGCACGTGTTTCAGAGCTGGACTGCTGACTAATGCAAATTATCTGAGGCGAGAATAGCAGACATGTGTTAGTACTGAGTCCGTTTTCCTTGTGCTTCAGAGAAGGTTCCTCTAACACGACTCCAAAATGAAAACTTTCTTTCCAATGGCTAAATAGTGTGAAGTCCTAGTGCCCCAAGAAGGATGCTAAATACCTTTCAATTTAATCATACCCCTTAGAAGTCTGTGCCCCAGTAGTCTCCAAGCAGTAACAAAAGGCTTCCAAGACTGAAATCAATAACTTGTTCATAATCCCCTTCTTGGAATTTGGTGTAAATAAAAGTCTCTTGGGAAGGAGTACTAGAAATACAGATTTCCTGACACTGTAACCTAATTCCTGGAAGCACTCCTTTCTCAAGACTGTGGTAAATGCTACCACAACTTATTGGGGGTTTTGTGAGGGGCCACATAGTAGAAATAAGTAGCAGGTAGTTTAAACACTAGATCAGAATATCAGCATGGGAATAGTGCAGCAGTGGGAAAATACACAGCCATAGCTTTGAACTTTGCAGCTCATGCAAGAATAGCTAGAAGGGCAAAGATGGGTAGTCCGATTCTCAAACTCACACCCTTGACTCAGAACTTGAACTGTGACAGAATATAAATAGTTTATGTTTTTAATTCATATTGCATTTAAAAAGGGATGCTCTTAAAAAAAAAAAAAAAAGAAGAAGAGAGTGGTGCTGGAGATGGGCTCAGGTCAAGGACTTTTCCACCTCTTGTCTATAATTGTTCTCACTAGGACATCATCCACATGTGGTGGTGTGAAAAGCTACATACTACCTGCCTGGCACCAGTGTTTATGGGTGGGTATTGTAGCTTCTAAAATCCCCAAAGTTTCCTTTTTCTTTTGTTTATAGATGAGATCAAATTTTTTTAAAACAACTTTCTCACTCAGGTTCACAAAACACACAAACTTGTCAACTCTGGCATATCTGATATTACCATCCGCTCAGACAAGAAGATCTTAGCAACAGCCGGCTGGGATCATCGCATCAGGATCTTCGGCTGGAAAAAAATGAAGCCCTTAGCAGTGCTGGACTACCACACAGCAACTGTCCATTGTGTGTCCTTCTCAGATCACAGCAACCCAAGTGAGAGACTGCTAGCAGCTGGCTCAAAAGATCACCGCATCAGTATCTGGTCAATATATACTCAGACATGATATGTTCTGCACTTTCATGGGCTAGAAAGCAGGACTGGTGAAGCAGTAATTCAAATCTGGATGTGGGGAAGCAATAGAGCATATTTCCAGGCTGAACTGAGAGTCCATGGAAAGCGTTAGATTAATTTTTATGCTGCTTGTTTGACTGCAACGTTGCAGGTTTTGTTTTCCAAAGAGGGGAGTTGATTTTTAAAATGTATAACAAGTGGAGCAAAGCCAGTCATGAATGAAAACACAGGACAAGTAGCTCCAAGTACTGTTGCAGGCTCTGCCATGGCTTTTTCTTTGGCAGGTTGCTTGAATAACTCCTGCCAATTTCTTCTTTTGTGAAAAGGAACTGGAATCTCTCAGACTGCTGTGGGGGCAGAATATGTCTGTTTGTAAGTCATTTATGTATCCAAGAATCTGAATCAGTGTAAAATATGACTCTTTCTTGAGAATTTATACCCATTAAACCACCTCCAGTGGTTTCTCATTGTCAGTTACTTTTTCTTCTCTGTAACTGAAAGGCTATCGGAACAACCTTGATTTGTTCACACTTCTGTCAGGTTCTAACTTAAACCAACAGCCAGGAATGTGACTAGGGACGGCCTTTGGCATTTATGAATTTCATTATGTCTCCTGTCACCTCAAGCCTTGCAATTAATCACAAGAAGGGAAGAAAAAAAGAAAAAAAAAATCTTCCTCTGCCCTGCACTGCAAAGCTATGTAAAGCCTTTTACAGAGCCAGTGCTAAATCCTTTCCATAGACTGACTAGCAGAAGGATTTAAACTCAGCAATCCAATTAGCACCCTTCTCCTTGGAGAGTTAGGGGTAAGTTTTCAGCATGGCAAGTCTGGGATTCAGCTACACCACTCCCATTAGCATTAAGGGGAACTGCATGGATAAATCCTTATCCACAGAGTGCAAATGGAGCCATTAACTTGTCATCTCTATGGTCATGGAAGCTGAAATTCATTCATAAAGGTTTTTTTGTTTTGTTTTGTTTCAATCAAGAGACTGCAATAGCATTCTTTTAAAACATATACTGGGCATGGCACAGTCTGTTCATAGACATTACTGTTGGATTCAGGTTTGTCAGGAAGTTGCAGTTACTATACCACTGATGCAATTAGCAAGTGCCGGTTTGTTGAAAGAGTAATTTAAAAAGGAGATGGCCTGCAGACTAAAACTCAGCTTCACAAACTGAAGTGTTTTGTGTATCAGGAGTGCTGCTCTGTTGATATTTTATTGGAAATATTTGTTTCTGCCTCTGTATGGGCTTGGACATCAAAGAAAAAGTCACCAGAATTGTAGTGAACAGCAACATCAAAAGACTTCAGAAATTATTTCAGGGAAAATGGACAGGCAAAATTTAAGTTCTGCTATCCAGCTGTGCTTTAAAGCAAAGAGAATACTATTGAACTAAAAGCCTTAATCACCAAGCCTGATGTTCTTTCTATTAAAGCACAGAAATAGCATATTTTTGCCAGGCGTTCCTAAATGAAACTCAGCCTTTCACATTTTGGAGTGTGATGACACTTTAAATAATTTGTTTCTTTGATTATTTCTTTAATGTTAGGTAGCTGCATGGAGAATCACACTGCAGTTGAAATTTAAGGCCTAATTTTGAGTGATCCTGAGTCAAGGGGGCGGCACTGCTGTTCATTACACCTACCAGCTACAGTTGTATAGATGCTAATCTCTCCATCTCCACATGTCATCTACCTCCCACACAGAGGAGGAGCTATCTACACAGTACAATATTCTCCAGGCCAGCAGCCTTATGGAATGAGACAGGGACCTTCTCCACAAGCCTATTGCTGGAAGAAACTTTTTCCCCGCCATCTTAAAGTAGGTCAAAATTGAAGCGTATATTATAGTGTATCATTACAGAAAACATTGCCATGTGTGGTCCAGAGACTCTTCATTAGGCAGCTTGCAAAGAGATTTCATTTTGGCTGACCTGTCTTGTAACGTACCACAGATGAAGCCTGTCAGGCAGCCCTGAGCCTGGTGTCCCTTCCATTTGAGTGGGGCTCTATAAACATAACTTAGTGACATTCTGCTGTAGGAGAATTCACATACATGATCCTCCAGTGACCCTTAATTTTTTAAAACAACATAACCCACTGCATAAGCACTTCGGTTTTAGTCTCCTCTCCACTTAGATTATAAATAAGTTGTTTAAATATTAAGTGAAATAAGAAGCAGGTCCCAAGTCTCCACCTGCTCAGGAGAGCACCCTATGCTTTAACCTGTGGAATCACTCCACCTTTATCGACAACCTCAAAGCAATGAAGATAGCTCATGTGCCAGAACTACCTGCAAGCTGGTGGCTAGGCACTGTCCTGGAAGGTGAAAAGAACTCTGCATCTCCTCAAGCGCTGACCCAAAGTGTCCTGTGTCAAACATGAGCACTTTAAACCTGCCCCCTCCCCCCCCCCGCAACAGTCCCCTTCCCAGGAGGCACAGGGTTAGAGGCACAGCTGCTACAGTCATTTTGCATGGTGCATGATCAAGGCCAGCAATGCCTTCTTGGGACTTCTGGTGCAATAGGCATGGAACTCTTCAGTGTTCTTCAGGCTTTTAGACTATCTAAAAATTTTGCTTCTGAGCAAAATTTAGTTTCCACTGTTTATCACTCACTCCCCCTGCCTCAAAGATGCATAAGCAGTCCCTGAGTTGCAAACTCACTGCGAGTTCCCTCTCCTAGCTGTGCATCCTAGCCATTAAAAATTAGTTTCCCCCACCCCTTCCCTAAGGATCTTGAGATCTTTTCTGCAGTGGCACTTGGGAGATGAGAGGGGGCAGAGGGGCCCTAGAGGGAGAAGCATTCCTGTTTTCCATGGCACCAAAGAGCAGCCTACAGTGTTGGACAGTTTCCACAGAATTGAGAACTGTAAGTGTAATTTCCATCCAAGAGAAAAAGAAAGAAAATTTATGGCTCACCCATCTTGGGTGACTGGTTACTGTATGAAATGAGAATGGCTGCACCTACTCCCTGTAGAGAAGTAATCACTCATCTTATCCTTTTGACAAGAAAAGGCCACTTTACCACCAGAGAGTGGTACTCTAGGCTGCAAGAAGACAATTTCAGGAAAGGAGCTGGGTTAAGATGCAAACCTCTCCAGCATTTCAGGGCATCTCCATGCACAGCATATCACTTGTTCTGAATGCCACTGATGAGCATTACTGCTCCAAAGGCATGGTGAGGATTGAAGGTATTATCACAACCTGGCTTCTGCTCCAAACACAGCTGGCTTATGGGTTGGGTCATAGCCACCCCAAACTAAGCAGTATTCCCCTCTTGTGTTCTAGCCCTCAGGTCCCAGTGCAGTATGCAAATTGTACCTGTAATGAGGGACTGTGCACCTTACATCCACAGTAGGAAATAACTTTTGATGCAAACACCATAATGTTGGCACAGTGGCAGCCTCTCTAAGAAGAGCAGATTAATACCCAATGTCTTAATAAGAATGCCATTAGATCGGAGCCTGAGCATTATACACTCCGAGTATATCTTTTTTCTCTGAAATAGCCTTTTAATGTCAATGTCTGTAGCAATTATGGAGACTCACAAGAGAGGCTTAGATTTATTAATAAGTTTCTTGAAAGACACACTAAAGATAACTAGCAATGTGCCTTCACATCTAACTTCCTGCCCTTTGTTTTTATTTTAAAGATAAACTCAGTCCTGCAAGCGCAAATTGAAAATGAGGGCATGAACTGCATCTGTAATCTTGCTAGCAGACACGCACAGAGGTGAAGAGTTTCATCAACTTCTGCATGTATGCAGATCTGCTTGCAAGAATAGACCTATCCTATATTTGTTTAGGTCCCATTACCAAAAAGCTATCCCTGTGATACTTTTGTATGTTATGGCAATGAATTCATTAATATCTTATATCATTATTGATTAAAAAACCAACAAAACAAAACAACAACAACAAAAATACTCCAGTCAGTAAGGGGAATTTGTATGTTTTTCACATTAGTTTTGTTCCACTGAGCAAACAGATTATATATTAGTTCGATTTATAGCTGAGCCTAAATGTCATTGTTTGAATGTGAATTGCACTCTTCTAAAAGAGTATTTGCTTAAGGAGCAGACCTGGACTTTCCTAAAGTAGAATGCTTTCAACAGGAGGGGCAGTCTATACAGACTGTAAAATACAGTTGTTTGAATGCATCTAGGAAATTAACATTTTTAAATGAAAAAATGTTAAAGCTCTTTAAAATTGTAACATTAGCATGTTTATCACTCAAGATTACAGCTGACTTTCTTGCTAGCAAGAAGGTTATGAGTGAAGAGCCACCTTAAGCTGCTGGAGTTAGCTCTGGAATCTCACCTGCCAAAAAAGGAACAGGACTAGCCTGTACCTGGCCTAAAGGATTCGGGAGTGAAGGTGATGACAGCTAAATTATTACAAAAGGCTTCCTCCTAAGAATTGCCGACTTTGGCACTGTGAGAGGGAAGAAAGCAACCAGCATTCATAAACTAATAGAAATAAATCCAAACATTAGCGTTTGTGTAGCAATTACATGGAATATTTATCACCGCTGGAATGAATGGTGAGCTCTGACCCTCACACCTTTTCTGCAAATGAATCCATTAGTTCCAACCCCTTTCTCTTATCTGTACATAGACCGTAAAGCATTCCAGGCCAAGGTGTAGATGAGCAAGGAAAGAAGCGATTAACTGTTTTTGTAGTAATGAGTGAAAAAGGAAGTAGGCTGAGGGCCTGCAATGAGAAAGTTGTTAAATTTAGCCCTATACAATGCAATTGCATTAATAAGCCAATAAATTACTCTGTGCAGCTTGACCTGGATTGTTGCAAAGGTTGCCTTTTATAGGGTGGATTTTTATAGTTAAGTCAATACTATAGTTAAGTCAAACTATAATACCTTCTGGATTGGTTTGTTTCTTAGCCTACTTAAGATGTATCTACAAAGCCAACTCGCAAATTAATAAATCTTTCCCTTAATTCAGTGTGCCAAGAAGAAGTTAAAACACTGACTACTGCAGCAGCCATGTTAATGATGTAAACCAAAGGACTGGGGATTAAACAAGGATTACTGAGTGCTAAATCAATGTGTTTCCTTTTCTGGCTGTATGTCTGTGGTGTGAAAGTATGGATCATTACATAAAAACACGTCACATGACTGCCTGGATTAATACTACACGTTAAAGCAATGCTGAGACACAAGGTTTGATGTTTAAGCCTGACCATTCGGTACGCTACCAAGAAAGTGATGGTAACGAACAAGGAAGAAAGCACGACTTTTTCTGCTATTTGCACTATTCTGAAATTCCAGTCTGGATCCCAGTACTGGAGTAATTTTTCCCAGATAGACTTGACTGTGTTCAATCCATGCACTACTCTTACGGGCAGTCTGGAGGTTTTGTTTAAAATGTGAAGAGAACTGACAAGAATTAAAATCATATTGTTTTGGCAATTCCTTTAAGTATCTCATAGTATGAGATGAACACAAAAAAGCCTTGCACTGTCCTGTCAGATACAGCAGACAGAAATATACCTTTTTAAATATACTGAAATTGATGCATACAGGTTGTGAGACTTGCCAACAATATTAAACTAAACACAGAGCAAGTAGCAATAGTCTGGAAACCAAATTCTTTGTTCCCTGACCTTACCACATACTCTCATCCCTTTTAGGGCAAGACCAGCAGCCTGATTTAAGTTGGTCAATCACATAGCCATTCTTGTGAATGGTTTTATTTGTCCCTCACCTCCTTGTCAAATAATAGGAAATAACGGGATTGGGAAATCCTATAAACAGCAACCTGCACTACATGCCTTAGGAGCAATGTAAACACACCATGTAAAAAATGCCTGTGCTCTCCCAGAGGAGTGTGTATTTATCACTGTATCATAAACAGTGGCAATGCCAAACGTTATGATGCCACTGGAGCTAACAGCAGGAGGAACTGAATTCTTGAAGAACCTACATGTACTGCAGAACCATTTCAGAGCAGCACTGACTTGTCACAAGAAAGTGACATGGCAATGCAAGGATGTATTGTAACAATTTTTTATTTCAATTAGAAGTTCTAATCTTAAAAAAAAATGCTGATCATGGACTGCAATTACAGTGGAATGCTCTTTCCTCCTAGTTTTTATTCAAAATGCATGCAAATTACAGTGGCATAAACCTGTAGCAC